TTGCTTAATTCTTATCAGTTATATGGCTTATATTTACATACATATATTTATATTGATAGGAAAATTTCATATCAATAGAGTAGAATTTTATGGTCGGAATTTGTTTACACATCCGCAAAGTACAGCAATAAATGATACTTTATTGAATATAGTTAAAAGAATTGATTGATATTACGTGCCATATGGTTTTATAGTAAATGAAACACTTCCTAACTTAATCTTTAATGCATGGTTACACTGAAGGTGTCTTTACCTCCATATAGTCTGAGTAATATTAGTAAAACCTAGCCATAAAGGTATACCATACCTGAATGCCAGATAGTTACTGCTATTAGTATTTATAGTACTATAACATCTATATGTACGGCTAGTCTTAATGCCTGTTCTCGTGTGCTCTGTCTCAACTAATCGCATTTTCTTATACAATTTTTCTTGAGTGTTACGCATAAACTAATTAGAGAACAAACAAACTAACGAAAAAGGTTGCAGACGCTAAACGCTTTAGTTGTAGTTATTATTCAAGTACATGTCAATACTTAATAGTATTTGGCGTTATATTGAATAACTGCAGCTTAGATAGAGCACCAGCCAGAACGTCTCTAAGTACTTACACTGAGGGCATTACTAGTTAGGTATACTAGTCTCTAGTATCTATAAACTATGCATACAGCACAAAGCAATATTTAATCACTTAATGTTTAATGTTTTGATTTATTTTTGTTTTTTTTTTTTAACATATTTTATTTTGTAAATTTCTTATAATTTTTAATGAGCAAAAATTATATATATTTTCTGTTGCTTATATAGTTTTATTAAATTTTTTTTATTTACCCTCAATTTTTATTTTTTTATTATTGTTTTTTTTACTTTATTTTTTTGTTTAAGCTTGTTAAATTTTATTTTGATTACTCTTTTCCTCTTAATTAATTAATTTTAATTTTCCTATTAATTTTGTAAACCTTTACCAGTGCATTCACAAGTCGCTTACTCCCCATGCCTCACATTTCACATTGCAATGTTTACCTCTGGGATTTGCTCAAGCAATTGTCTCGCATACTAAGGCACACAAACATCACACAACACACGTGTGAAATCCACCTTTCCACCATACGCTTTGCCCTGTTGCAAGGGCTGACCGTTTCGCCCTCGCACACCCACATTACGCAAAAAGAAGAAGAAGTAGAAAAAAAGAGAAAAAAAAGAAAACGGGCAGTTGCCATTGCCCATGTTAATCGTCGCTTGGCAGCTTTGTCGCACGCTTTGCACAGCCATCGGCGTTGGCGTTGGCGTCGACATCGACATCGGCGTTGGCGTCAAGGACAGCGTTGCTGGCCTCTTGGCATTGCATTGAACTTGAACGAGGGTTGGCCGGCGCACTGGTGAAATTGCAATTGCTGACGCTAGAGGGCGTGTTCATTCGTCGTGTACTCTTTCGCTCAATGCGTGCAGCAGCAGCAGCGGCAGCGGCAGCGGCAGCAGCAGAGGCAGCAGTTAATGCGCTCAATGCGAAACCCACTCAAATGCGAGTTGAGCTTAATGCGCCTTTGCGTTATGCAGCGGAATTTTCAATTAGCTGCCGTGGCTTTTGGGGATATTCAGACCATCCCAGCGGTGAAAGCGGCGCATAAATTATTTACTTAACATTTAAAAATTGCATTCAAAATGGCTGCGTGGCGTCGCTCGCGTCGCACGGCTGACGTCAGCGCAGCAACAAAACAACATGCAATGCGGAAATGCTTTCAACTTTAAACTTTCGCCTCTAAAATTAGCTGCAACTAAAAAAAGCAACGGTAAAGCAAACGCACACACACACACGAGCGCAGAAATTCAGCTTGCAGCTATTTTTCAACCGATGTTGACTTTTTGGCTTTGCTGCATACTTTGTGGCGTTTGCTTTGTGCTTTTGCTTTTAGTCTGTCAAAATTTAACGCCCAATCAAAATATGCTAAAATAGTCGCGTATCTGTGTGTATGAGTGTGGGCATGTGGAGTGTGTGTGTATTTGGTTTTATGTTTTGCGACCGTTTCCGGCGACATTTTCAACTCGATTAGAAATGCAAATGGCGTTCGCTTGACAGTCACTCAACTTGGGCTTGGTTGGGGGAGTACGTGGCAGAGGCTTTTGTGGCTTATCAATTACAGGCAGCAGGCACAGTGCCAAAGTCGTAGACAGGTTCACAGTCGACGCCACACTTGCCACAAGAGTCGTTGCCGCTGCTGCTGCTGCTGTTGCTGTTGTGTGTTATTTCAAGGACATGTTTGTACTGGAAAATGCATATGAATTTATATGCACTTGGCATTTAATATGCAATGCCGAGGGCGGTTAGAACACTTGTGGGGAATGTTTGAAAATGTAGCAGATATACTGAGAGGAGTAGGAGAGTAAATGTTAGCACAGGACAGATATTTATTGCTTGCACTGTTTGGCTGTGCTTTTGTATGTCTTTTGCTGCCTTTATATGAGTGAACTAATTGCAGACTGTAGCTGAGCGTTGGAAAGAGCGCGAGCATAAGCTGAAGAGCTTGAGAGTGCGAGAGTCAAGCATAGCTAGGAGAATTAGCTTTTGATCCCGTTATATGAGTGAAGAGTAGCTTTAGCGTATGCATTGCCTTCCAATGGTCGCCTTGTTTTTGGCAAGTGTTGCTTGCTCTCTTTGCTCTCTTTGCTATTGTTGTATTGGTGTATGGCATGCATGCTGAGCGTAAGACTGAGATTCTTAATTTTTAACGTGATGGCGTGAAAGAGAGAAGTGTAGTGTGTGGTGTATATACATATGTATTTATATATTTACGAATTTCGTTCATTCTTTATTTTGCCTTTCGTAACTATTCAACTGCATCTCGCTTCAATGGTTTATACTTAAGACTTAATAGCAAAAGCGAAAGCGAAAACTTCAATTTGCAGCTGACCAAAGTCACGAAGTGAATGGCTTTTGCCTAGACTTGGGCTTGGACCTGGGTTGGGTCTCAATTTTTAGAACCTTGCAACGCCGCGGCGCGCCGCTGCATTTGCATACCAAGTTCTCATTGTTGTCGCCGTTGTTGTTGTTGTTGTTGCTGTTGCTGTTGTTGTTATCTGTCGCAGCGGAAATGCAATGCGGCGCTGTTTGTTTTACGCTCTGTGGTAGCACTTGCCACATGCCACTTGCAACTTGCTTGCTTTGCCAGCGTTGCTTGAGTGATTGACACCGCGTTGCACGCAGCTTGCATTTTGATAGCCAATGCAACCCGGCACGCCCACTATGCCCGGCGCTCTGTCTACCTCCTGCTGCCCCCCCTCCAGCCAAATGGCAAACAAATTGGTATCTATCATAACATTTATTTTGGCTCGCAGACGCGAGCTCATAAAACTAAATTGCAATTTTTTACAATTTACATAGATATGAGGCAGGTGTGTAGGTGTATGTGTGTGTGTGTGTAAACTCTTTTTTGCGTGCCTGGCACTCGCTGGCACTTGGATGGCTGCGACTTCTGGGATTTCGTTTACGATTTGACGCTTGCCGGTGCTAATAGCTTGTTACAGCATAAAATCGCATTATCCTTAACACACACACACACACACACACACACATGCATGTGCATATCTGTATCTGTGTGTGTGTGTGTGTGCGTGTTGAGTTATTCCCATTTTTTTAATAGCCTTGCATATCATTTCGTGGCTCTAACATAAATGGCAAAAGTCAGCAAAAATCAAACAAACATCAAATTAAATATTTGTAAATTTAATATTATGTAAATCTAAGGGAGTTAGAGCAGTTCTATTTATAGCTCATTCTCGCATCTATTTATATATGCAAATATAGACATATCACTTGGAGATTAGCTCTATCTGACATTTCTAGTCAGCTGCCGCATAGTTTAAACAATTGTTTACAAAGTTTTCAAGTATTTTGGACTTGTTTTGTTTTGTTTTTTTTTTTTTTGGCAATTAGTTGATAAGCAAATATTTTTATTGCTTACTTGAATTATTCATTTAAGCTCTTTAAAGTTGTAAGAGGCCCTTTGATGTCCTTGAAATGTTAAGGAATTTCCTTTGTTCTTTTATTCAAATTACTTTTGAAATATTTTTGCTAAAGCTAAGGCATAACGGAGATGAGCATATGTATGTATGTGAATACAAAAAGATGAATATTTATAAAAGTTGAGAGAGCGGAAGAGAATTGTAGATAAATAGAAAGAGAAGGAGGAGCAGGAAATGGAGAAAGAGAACGAACTAAATAAGAGGAAGCAAAGCAAAGAAGAGAGTTAGAGAGAGAGAGAGAGAGAGAGAGAGAGAGAAAATATGTAAAAGAAAAGGGAAAACAAAACAGAAAAAGTTAGGATACAGAGAAGGATAGAGAAGAACAGATAAAAATTAGAACGCGTGAAATTGAGAAAAACAGACGGAAAGAGAGAAAGAAAGAGGGAGAGAATTACAAAATATGAAAGGTAAATAAACAAAAAGCAAGATAAATTCTGATAAGTGAAGAGAAGGAGAAATCTAGAAAATAAAGAAAAATATACGGAGAAACAGAAAGTAAAAGAAATTGAAGTCCAAATGAAGTTTTACTGTAAACAAATCGCAAAATTCAACTCAGTAAACAACTTCATTATAGTTTTTACTAAACGTGAAAAATACAAAATTAACTTAAATCTGCTCTAAATATGCAGCTTTAAAGATATTTTTAACAGTGCCTAAAAAAAAAAAAAAAAAAAAAAAAAAAAAATTAAAAAGCAGTCAGCCTGTTATTCACTAAATTAGTTTTATCTATGAAAATGACAGAGTTATTAAATTATTTAGCGAGCAGAGTTAATGATACTTTAAATAACTCATTGACTTATGACAGTGATGGCAAAAATATTGGGCATGCCAAGAGATGAATGAGCCAAACTGAGCTAATAATATTATTAATAATAATATTATTAATTTCCATTTCTTGTATTGTTTCTCTTAGCTTCAACCTTTTACACATTATTACATTTTATACTAATACATATTTTTCTCTTTTATTTTTCTTGCAGCTGAATTCTTAATGCAGCATAATTTTCACAGACTGCAGCCATAATATAAAGGTAAGGTTGATTTAAGGAGAAAAGTTATACAAACTAAATTATATCTAGTACTTACTGGGGTAAACTATAAATATAAAAATTTTATGAGTACTACAAATATTTGAACAATATTTTTTTATTGCAACAACTTTGTTTCACTCTAATTAACTTAGTAAACCTTGTCATCTGTCATATGTTTATCAAATCAATTGAGAACTTTGCAACTGAAATTTGCTAGCTGTATAAAAGTATTTCAACTTTGTTGGCCCGGAGACTGCACAGGCTTTATCAGGCTTATCAGGTAAATAAAATAATCGAGTACAATCTCAAAAACCAAATCCAAAAAGTTCAACCGAAACAAGATTTAGCTATTACAAGAGTTAAGCTTCAATTCAGAAATCTTTGCTCTCTCTTACTCACTCTTTCCATACGCTTCTCGCTGTCTCTTTCTCTCTCCCTCTTAAATTTACTCTATAACATTTAACTACAACAACAATAGTTGAGCTTCAATTAACACATTTCTGTCCTAACCCCACTCACTTACGCTCCCTCTTCATCTCTCTCTTTCTCTCTCCCATTTTTCCTCTCCCACTCTTCCTCTCCCTCTCCCTCTCCCTCTCCCTCTATAGCATCAATTAAGTTAGTTTTTACAATGCGCAGTTGAAAGTTTGAAGTTTTGTTACATCGTTGTAAGCCACAGAGGACTTAACGCCATTTATGTTGTTGTTGTTGTTGTTGTAGTTGCTGTTGTTGTTGCGGCCAACTTCCGGTTCAATAGGGCGGCAACAGAGAGAATTCATTTAACATTTATTCATTTAACGCCTCATTAATTCATCACTTTCAATCAAATTTTACGCTTACATACACAGCACACAGGTGCGTGTGTGTGTGTGTGTGTGTGTGTATGTGTTTATGTGTGTTAAATATTAACCGCAAGTTGTAACTGAACAAGGGCTCCTTAGTTGCGCTCCATTAGAGGGACAGTAATGCCCGCCCAGATCCTAGCGTCCTTAATTAAGCGTGTAATGTGTGTGTGTGTGTGTGTGTGTGTGTGTGTGTGTGTAGGTGTAAAGGTGTGCGTATGTGTGTGTGTGCTTGTGTAAAACTCATTGAATTTCGCATTAATATATTAACTTTGCCGTAGCATACATTGAGGCGCAAAGCGACTTTAAAGTAGGTGCACGCAAAAGGAAAAGGGAAAGGAACAGGAAGAAAGAGAGAGAGAGGGAGAGAGACAGAGAAAGATAACAGAGTTAGATAGAGTGACACAATGGTAGAGGGATAGAATGTGGATTAAATAGAATGAGAGATAGAAAGAGCTAGAGCTAGATCCAAACATGAAGAAAGATGGAAATAGAAAGAGATAGTATGAGACGAATGTAGAGATACACGTGATAGACGTGAAACAACTAAAGATTAGAGATAAATAGAGATCCAGATGATACACAGAATGAGTGAGAAAGAGATAGGTAGAGAACAAACATAGATCAAAGGGGAAGTAGAGATAAGAATGTGAACGAGAGAGACAGAGAGAGAGAGAGAGAGAGAGAGAGAGAGAGAGAGAGAGAGAGAGAGA